ATTTTGCTATATTTTAATTTACATTGTTAAATTGCCATAAATTCATCCGGCGAATAGGAGCAAATGCGGAACATGCTGCAAGAGAGCCAGAGAGAGAGCAGGCAAAATGGCTAAATGGTGTGTGCATTAAAATATGGTGGTTCCAAATTTATCGTCATCATCGTACCATAAACCGATCAGCCGAAGGGAATGCGCGCACTTGGAATACGCTAAGTAACACAATAACATCCAGCTAAAGAAACGCCAAACGAAAAAAATGCCATTTCACAAGACGAAAGACCCGTTATATATTTTTTTTTATTTCTTCTTTTGAATTCCCGGATCATGCTACTCAAACGAAAAACGCAGCGGAAAACTTCCTGAAATTCAAGAGTATAGCTCGGTCTTCATTTGCGTCATTGCTTTTGTTTTTAACAATCCCTCATTTATAGTATGTCGCCTTGTCTGTGTGTTATGTTGTCGGTTGCATAAAGTAAAAACGCGTAAATGTGTGGATGTGTCTGTTGTCGGAAGCAATAGATAAATTTAATGTCGCATGTTCACATAAATATTTTCTCAAGGGATAAAAAAGGCGACTCTCGACAAAGAATGTGGTTTTTCTTTTCTCTTTTCTATCCATGAGACATTACACAGAGACTACACATTTTCTGTGTGAGTTGCGTTTATATTGTGGGATGTCTGACTGTTACTCGTGTCTAATGGATTTTGACGGTTTCAATTTTGGCATGAATGCACGCGTTCATTTCTGCAACAAGAAAGACACATTCACACACACATGCACAGAAAAAAAAATCGCTATAAAAATTGGAAAAGATAGAGTATAGCGAATTTTGCGCATCGTTTGCATCCACATTGAATATGCTTGTTGCATTACACCACATGCAGTGAGTGCCTAGGAAATCTATGCCTAATTACCTTTCATTAGTTTAAATTTGTCGTTTGTGGATAGCCGTCGACGTCGTCGTCGCGCACGAGACCGATTAAAGTGGAAAAACACCTCTAGTGACATGTAGACGCGTTGTGCACCATGTTAAACACTCCATAGGACAGTTATATGGTGAACTTTATCTATCTCTCTCTCGATGTGTGTGTGTTATGTCATTCAAACGTGCAAATTGTCCACGGTAAAAAGCGGGAGCAAAAATGAGTACGGCAGCCTTGTGATAATTTGATATTTTGTCAGAGTGCGCGATGCGCTGGAAAAGCGAAACCGAAAAACAGCAGGAATTTAATTTTATTACACATATCAGACAAATTATATGCCCGCACACACAACACACAGCATCCGAAATTCTGGGCGAAAAAAAAGTCGATCCATGTCCATGTCGTTTGTTTGCTGTAGTACATGGTGTGATGTTGAGCGTCAATATCAAAGGTGAAATACATTGATATATGTTTTACATGGAGCACATTTTTCGATTAATCATTTACACAGTCAATTTAACCAGCGGAATGTGGTTGCGTTTTTCTTTTGTTGTGCGTTGTTCATAGATTCAGGCTGTGAATGTGTGTGAATTCAAAAGTGAGAATCAAACAAATGTATGAGCAAACGGTGCACACAACAAATTTGTTCAAACAAACAAACAATAACTGTTTCCGTAGCTGATCAACGCATTTTTCATTCAAACACTCCGTTCATTAGACATACCATACAAATATAACAAAATAAAACGATTTTTCGCCGTTTAAATGAAACTGTACCGCCCGCAACTACGCTTTAAAACGCACATACAATGGCAACAAAATGCAGCAGTTGAAGTATCATTTTTAAAAGTGGCATTAATGCATGAGTGATTTTTTTTCATCGTTGTTTTTTTTCGAGTCGGCTGCAACGCACCTTATGCAATTTACCAAATAAACACCACAAACAATGCATCACACACATCATGGTTCACGATCTCAATTTCCTACAATGACGACGAAGGCTACGACTGTATGTGTGATGATGATCGACGTGAACGCACGCCGAACATTCTGTCACGGAAGATATATACAATGTTTCTATTGTTGCAAGTCTTGCGTTGCATAATAATATAATATGAACCGTTTTAAAACTAAAATGAACTTCACGGCTTGTTTTGATAGCTTGTTAGACAGTCACTTTGTTTTTCAATGTTCTTACAAACGAAATTTTGTTTTTCGAATTGTTTTTTTTTTCAATGCGAGATCGCTTACAATGAGTAATATAAACGTAAACAATTCACTCAATTCCACGAGCGAATAACACATGTTTCTTTTCGAAATTAAAAAGACTAAATTAGCAAAATGTTCGTGTGTGATCGATCAAAGTATGTATTTCTCTCTCGCTCTCTCTCTCGATGTTTGTCTCGTCGAAGATGCCGAGCATGTATCAACCTTTTATGGTTTTATACTTCCATTTAGGGAACAATAAAACAATTTTAAGGCTACGATTACAATGCACAATCGTTTAAGGAATGCACTGAATAATTTATGTCATGTATTTTCGGGTGACAAACTCTTCGTATATATCATTCGGCAATGATGCCGAATAAAATCAACAATGATATAAACGTATTTGAATTTCGGAATAGCACACGTTTGGTGATGGTATCGTCTTTCATTTACATACTTCATCTAATTTCCTTTGTTTTTGTGTTTTGTTTTTTTTTTTTTGACAAAATGAACATATGGACTTTATTTATTTATATAACATTCGGAATGAGCTCGTAAAGTGGAAAAGACACACCGAGTGAGAGTGCCGTACATTGTTCTTACTTAAATTAGTTTTTGTGTATGTGTGTGTGTGTCGCTTAAATGATGGCGATAATCGAAAATCTACTGCCGATACGGCTGTTATTTGTGAGTCAATGTGCGTTATACACACTACGCATGAATATGCATGAGACTTTCTGTGAAAGAATGAGATGTGTGTTTGGCGAAAAGAACAAAGACCGGGGAAAAAAGCACACATAAGGCAACTAAATTAAATGTATAGGCTGTAAGCAAGTTTGAACGTACAATGTAAACATTCGAATGAATAAACAATGAAATGGCTTGAGTAGCGCGCGCACTTATTCTCTCTTTTTTACCGAAGAAAACATTGTACAATAGCGCGCAATCGCCTCTCTAGCACGAAAAAAAAAACAGAAACTAAACGGAAAAAACTGTCCAAACTAAAGTGGTGCTACGATAAAACAACCAATTGAATTTGAGAACGTACGGTGTGCGGTGTGCTGGCCAGCAATCATTGATTCCGAAGAAAAAAAATTGAAACAAGTAAATGAAGCAACTTTTAGTATGATTATAATCATTGTTTTACATGAAAAATGCTCATTTTATGTTTTTATTTAAAGTAATTTTTTGCTCGTCTCTGCCGGCCAAAACGTGCGACCAGTTTTGAGCCATGATTTGATGACTTTCAATCCACTCTCATCTTTACTTATACTTACTCTTTATCTTTTTCGTACGTATTTTGTGCGTAAGTAACAAATCAAAAACATGTATTGGCATTTTTTTCTCTCTTCTCATTCGCCAAAAAACGAAAAAACCAACACCAATCTGTATGCATTGCGTTGCGTTTAAACCGGCTGTATAATGCACGTCGTAATTACTGTGCAATTATTTCTCTTATTATTATTTAATTATTTTTGCTTTGCGGTGATTGTGTCTGGGCATACTGACTGTCATTTGAAATTTATACACATACTTGGTTCGTTCATTTTCGACGTTGTTCCGTCGTTTTTCTTTGCATTTTCTTCCATTTTTTTTTATCGGCCGTTTTTTTCTTTTGTTTAAAGCAAAAGAAGATTTTTGCTGTCTTTTTCGCCCAATTCGTGACGTTTTTGCTTTCCATTTTCTTGTTCAGATTTGCTTTTGAACTATGATCAAGTCGACTTTTTGCTGGGCTAGCAGATCTTTTTTTCTGTCTCAATAATCATCGTTCCATCACGGTTTATCTCTCTTCCATTTTTTATTGCACTTGTACATTGTCGTTTATTTTTGTTTTGTTGAAATAAACTTTTTCCCTTCCTCAACTTTTATTTAAAATTCCATCAGAACCGTTTTTTTCTCTCTCAAAAAGAAAATGAACTGGCTCACTTTTGGATGTTTGCATGGCAATGTTTTTATTATATATACGTGTCTCAATATTATTATTATGCATTAAGAAAAACACGGATTGTTATTGCGTGTATATGATATGAAACGAAATGAAAAAAAAGAAACGCTGAAACTGAGATTCGGTGTCTATAATACTTTAATTCGCATTGGCTTGCGAACGGGCGAAAGCAAAATACACACACATACTCTCATGCTGGCCGAACACAAAGTATTTTTTTTGTACAGAAAATTGAATTTTGCCCACGGCACACCATAATTGACTTATAAATTTGTACATGCATCCTATAAAGATGCCCGTATATTGTTTGGCTTGCACATCACTTCCACTTTGTGTACACCAAACATACCAACATACCGTTTTTTTGTGCTCCTTCATTCTTCTAGTCTCGTGTAATGCTGCGATTCTCTTTTTTCGTTCATGTCTTGGAATTACGCTCTGATTTAGCTTTTCATATCGCATATGGCATAAGGTAGAATACCAAAAAAAAACGACCGACGGGTAGGAAAAAAATTAAACTTTTTAAATCCATACGCATAAACGGTATGGTAAACTTTTTTTTTATCCATCGAGACAAAGATTACGAAGAAAGAGGTATTTTTTTTCTCTCTATCAAAAAATAGAAAATCACCGAAGCAAACTAAGAAAAATCGAAAAAAAAACCGTATGGATCTGATCAGACAGGAAATAATCCTTAATTAAGCGTAGACGAACAGTTTGTACAAAAAAAAACTAGGCCACACTAATTTTCTTCTTTCTTTTTTGGTAATCTCTAAGCTACTGTGTTTGTGTTTAATTCTTCGTAATTGTGTGTTTTTTTTAATACACAAATTGTGTTTTTTTGTTAATCTTTAAATTGGGGGCTACCTTTTATGTGAGCAAACACGACAAAATGTTTCGAAAGATAGATGTTTGTACATACCTTTTGTAAACATGCTTCACGGCAATTGTCAATTTCGGTTGATAATTCGTTGGAAGATAATTCGTTAAAATCACTATTTAAACTGCCGCTATCGTTGATGCCGGCTGTATTGGTTTTGGCACTGATTTCAGCGATATGTGCAACGCACAAGAACAATAACACCACAGCGGCTGTTGATTCCATTTTGGTTCTAACAGATTTATTTATTTTTGTTTTTGTTTTTTTCGTTCGACCTTTTTGTCACGGAAATATCCAAATTTGGTAATTTGTTATTTTTGTACAAAATTACCCTAGGGGGTAGACATGATTCATTTGATTCACTGTGATTCAACAGATTCACATTGTTTAGATGACATTTGAAATGTCACTTATGTGTCATGAAAGAAATATTTATTGATAAATTAAAATTATTTGTCTTCGAAAAAATGATTTCTTGACGTTTTTTTAAATGTATTAACTCATTTTTTTTTATCTATTTCGTGTTTTTCTAGTAAATTCCAAATAAAATCAACGATAATATTTAGAATTTGTTGAACGATCATGTTAGTAAAACCAAAAGTGATGCTTATTTGACATTTGAATGATTCATTTGATTCACTGTGATTCACATGATTCAAAGTTTTATAATTCGTGTCTACCCCCTTGAAATTACCGCTCTTTTTTTGTCTCAAATTTCGACCAACGCAAATATGAAATTAGTTTTTATTTTAATTATTCAACTTTCTCTTTGTTATTTTAACATTTCGATTAATTTTCAATCAGCACTTTTGTTCAGAATATTTTTTTTTTTCGATTCAAGAAAAATTTCAATTTTCAAATTAAAACCAATTTAAACCAAAAAAATGCAACACAATATTTTTTGCCAATTATTTTTCGTCAAATCAAGTGACTTTCTATCGATTTAAAACAAAAAAAACACAATAACTCCCGGCTAAGTGTGCAAATGAAAACAAATCCGTTCGGAATATATGCGATAAAGAAATGTATGTTCGTTCAAAGTACGATAAATGTGGTTAAGCAAGCTCGGAGCTGCATCTACTCGGCGCAACGTTTCGAATGATACTGAATTGTGTTGGTGGTAAAATGCAGTGAGTGAAACTGAAACGAAACAAAATGTATATATTGTGAGTTCCGCACACACACATATGGTTGTTTGTTAACACACGAGAACTTCTTCGGGTATATTGTTTAGCAGTAACGAAACAATGGTATCGGTTGGTACCGCATGTTGTTTTTATTATACGATCTCTTCTCAATTCTTTTCGTTTCTCCAATTCGGTATACGCATATTCTCGCTCATCTCTCGGAGCAATTCTTGGTAGCACTGCTTCGTAAGAGAGTTATATGATGTTCTATGCGAGAAAGATGGGGCAAAGAGATGAAAGAGTGTAAAATTCGATATGGTTTTGAGTTTTTGCTCAATTCTCTCATATCACTTCTCCTGCGGACGACGGATGCTACTCTCTCTCTTGCTGTGTGTTTGTATCTCTCCATTTGTTATGCGTTTGTGCGTTGAATTTGCTGTTTTCGACAACGGGACCGAATGGATGACACCGAGAGATGGCACCGCTGAGATCATTTCTGAAATTATCTTTTACTCTTGTGTATTTTTCCATTAACACCTTTCAATGTTGCCGTGCACAATCTCAATGTCCATCGCAATTTCATGCGATAATCATTTGATTTGGAATTACGGCATTTGTCGAGAGATTTCGTTTATTTTTTAATCGTTTTGCGAGCGTTTGACTTCGTTTTTATTCGACTCTTTTTTTTCTCGCTCTCTTATCATTTTATTTGAACAAATTGCTTGTTTTATGATCTTAATAATGTGATTTTATAAGCTACACATTGAAATTCTGCAAATTCACCGAATTATTTGCAAGCATTCAATTATGATAATTTGCATTCACATTCGTTCGGGAAAGACTTCATCGATTTGCACATAAGAATGGAATAGAGAGAGAGAGAAAAAGAAAGAAACAGTACCGTGAATAATAGCTGGACCGGATTTAATGTCATGCAAAGGTATTTTACAATTAAATTTACGTTTTCATCGCTTTTTTCGTCGTATGGTTCTGCAGATTTTTTTTTGACAATTTACGGTATTCGAACAATGAAAAGAGAGGTCTTTTACATGAAGAAAAACGGCTGAAGAATGCTTCGTGGTCTTTCAGTGAATTCAATTCATTTTCATCGTCATCATCATCACAAAAGATGCAAAAGTGAAGAGTTGATTTTTTCCATTCTTGTTAGTTTTTTTGTTTAACTGAAATTTCATACGTTTCAAAAGAGTTTCTTATTTCGCTTTTATTTTGTTGGCCAAAAACAGTAGGACTCGTGGTATAATTGCTCACCGCAAAGGAAGCAAAATGATTTGCATCGAACGAAACGATTTATGGGTTTCTTTCTCTCTCTCTCTCTCTCTCTCTCTCTCTGCTGTTTCTCCTTCTCTCGAGTAATTTATGCCTTTTATTCATTCATGTAATGCAATGAATTTGCTTGTGTTTGTCAACACAAAAAGAAAACATTTTTTTTTCTTTGCAAAAAAAAACACATCTGATTTTATGATTGAAGCGAGTAATCAAAACATTTCCATTGCAACAACTTAATAAGCATGGTACAAAAACGTAGATTCTTTTTAAATACAAAAGGCTCTTTGTTAATGTGCACTCTGTCAATCAACCCGAAAAAAGTAGAGATTTTCAACTGCCGGACAGTAGCATTGAATGCAGTAGCATCGACTGATAGCGAACCATTATGACGTTTGATGATGGTGGCTGATGAAGGGTCGATCTCTTTTGTTCTTTCATCGTCGTTTGATGGCAGCGCTTCTCTTAATTCTTTGGTGAGATACATTCGATTTTGTGTACTATCTTTGAGCGTCGACAACGATATCGCTCTAGTAATTATTATAACAAGAATAACGATGTGAATCTTCTGCTGACGAAAGTTTCACGACACTTTATTTTATTCCTGTGTGAATGCTGTAGATCTTGTTCGGTTTATTAGGAGTAGGAAAAAAACAGAAGCCGATAAGATATTCGTCGGTTCGGTGTTTCATCATTAAGAGTCGAAGATCTAGAAGTGCCGCCCTCAACCAAACAGCCAAAACCCATTTATAAAATCACCCAAATCGATTTATTATCATTAAAACAAAAAGTTAAAGAAACGTGATGCGCGACAAGATGCACTCCAAAAAGGAAATCAAATATTACTCAAGTGTATTTGAACGCAGCGAGGTAAGCTATGCGTGGAAGAAAGAATGCCAGTTATCAGCGATGATCTGTTAAATCAATTTTCTAGCTTTTCATTGAAAATTTATGGTTTACATCCCATCTTTATATGTTTGAATATGGCTGTCAAATAAGGCAGCTAATGAGAACCAAACTCATACACACAATAAAAACCTATTCGAAACCAGAAGTTTAACGTTTGACAAATGGGCCGGCAATCGTAATATGCGTTCACTGTTTTCATTAACCGCACGACAACCCAATGAAAACATATATATTTATTCAAAATAATATAAAAAATGTGTCCTTTCCGCTGTGGTCCTTATTGTGCTCTCATTTCACATTTGAAAAAAGAGAAAAGAGAAAAACGTTTGGTTCTTAGATATTGGGACTGATTAAAATTACAAGTCTTTTTTCGAGCGTGTTTTTCTCTTTCGTTTCTTGTGCGTATCGATGTTGTTCATAAATTTGGTGTGTGTGCATTTTTTTTCTCATACTCATCGGGCTAATCAACAAAACGGAAAAAAGTCTTTGATCTTTGGTCTGTGTGTATGTGCCTTCGTTCTAAAGATTTTGCTGTCGGTTTTTATTTTCGTTCTTTGCTTTTTGCTCCATTACTTTTATTTTCATTCTTCCCATTGTTCAACCATCTACCATTTCTCTCTCTCTCTCTTGCTCTCTCCTTCCACACACACTCAAATGCAGACATACGTGTGCTAAACTCTACATTGATTTAGCGCGTCTCACTCTTTGGCCCAATGGAATTTCCGAAAAATATAAATTTCATTTTATATTCTCAGTTTGATTTTAATCGAAAAGACAAACGGATCGCAAAATTGTTTTTTTTTTCTACATCTTCTTCGGCGCACAGGAGTCAAACAAATGTAATGCCCTTACGATCGATTATGTGGCTTTAAACCTTTTGTATACAAGCCTGGTCAAATACATGCAGCCAAATGCCAGAGTTTAAAATCAGAATTGAAAATAAACTAGTCACACACACATGGTTCGGGTTTATTTTTCGGTCACAAAAATCGCTGTTATGGTAATTTATTTAACCGGTCGTGTGTTGTTTTTGTGTTTTTTCTTATCCAACTTTGGGTCTCATTATACCGAAAAAAATGGAATGAAAAAAAAAGATGATTATGGTTGTCATCAACTTGAAACGACAATTGTTATGCCGCAAAATTTGTGATTTAGATGACGGTTTTTTTGCGCGATTTAATTGGCGCTAGAGAATCGGCGACCTAAGTCGATACAAAAAAGACTTTTCGGTCATTTCTTTTCAAACGGGAAACCAAATTAGATAACCTATAAAAACCAAATGCCCCGATTTCTTTGAACATTGTGCATTCTTTCTCTCGTTGAATAGAACGCCACAAAAAAAGACGCGCTTAGAAGTCATTCTTTTTTATGTCAAAATGTTGTATCGTATTTCCAACTAAAAGTGCCTCAGCTTTGCGTAGCGCCATTCGTTCAACATTCTTTTCTTTTTCTCAGACACACACATGGATACGGTAGAAAAACAGGAATTTGTTCAAATTAGCCAAAAAATCTTTGTCTGACGGAAGAGCAAAATATTTCATGGTCGATAGAATACGAAAATCCAGAATAGTGTGATTTATCGGAGACTGTGTGCGGTTTTCTTGTTTAACAGGACGTAATCAAAGCGGAATGTCTCATGCTTCAACAAAGTCTGACTCCGATTACAAAAAAAGAGGAAACTCTGTGATGAAATAAGAAGAATTGATAGCACGTTTTGGATTGTGTCGTTGAAATTACTGCGTAAATCGTATGAAGTGAGTGTCTCATTTATGAAATGCGCCATCGTTTGTAATTCTAATCCATTTAAATGTGTTTATCTGTGTGTTGGGGAAAAAATGCTTTCGCCGGCATAAATCAGGCGACAAGTGAATTGTTTCAATTTTCCGTTGAATTTGAGATAACAAATGATGCAAAGGGAGCGCCGAGAAATACAACCGGAATGTATAACATGCAAGAATTGAATCATATCTGATTTTCTGCATAATTTTAAGTGTATTATATATTTCAGCCGTTATGTCTGTGATATGTATGTGTTTTTTTTATTTGGAGCGAGTTGGATCGAGTTTCATACTGTTCATGTTTGAAAACACACATCAATCCTTTTTGCTGAGCCATCATTTCCTGTGGCCAATGTTCAAAGAAGCAGTTGCAAACGATACACAGAAGGAGTTAGTAACAAATAGATTCCAACATAACACAAGCATATTTATTACAATAGATTTTTCATTTTTGTTCAATTTTCGTCGATGTCGTCTCCAAAAATTCATTGAAATTTCTACAAAATTACACAAAATTTCAAATAAATTTACAGATATTTTTCACTTGTTACAAGCATATTTACTTTCTCGCAACCTCTCTATGTCTCTCACTGTGTGTGTTAGTTCGGATGTTTTGGCGTCGTAGCCATGGTATTTATATCCGCCCATGAGATACGATAAATGAGAAAACCAAAAATATAAACGAATTTTGTGTAGTTGTAGTACAATTTTTGATTTGATTAAGTGGTGTACATTTT